TGCTGGTTGCCCTTGAGCATCATCCCTGAAGCCGGCCCATCACAGATGTGCTCCTTGAGGATCTTCTCAAAGAGTTTCCCTAAGATTGAGGTAAGACTGATGGGCCTATAGTTGCCCGGGTCCTCTCTCTTCCCTTTTTTGAAGATGGGGACCACATTAGCTATCTTCCAGTCATCTGGCACCTGGCCCAAGCACCACGAGCGCTCGTAAAGCTATGCCAAGGGCCCTGCAATAACGACAGCTAGCTCCCTCAACACCCTGGGGTGGAGAGCATCTGGACCCACTGACTTGAACACATCCAGCCCCTCCAGAAGAAAGGAAGGAGAGGGAACTCTCTACCCTCACTGTTGAAGTTGACCAATTGAATGGTACAGTTAATAAGCAAGATTCATGGGGCCAGGAGGAGGACAAGAAGGACCATGTCTCTAGTGCAGTGGGTGGGAAATGGAGGGAATCTTCCATCAGCTGAGATGGAGGGAATCTTGAGTTATAGTCTGTCTGTCCTTCCTTCCTTTCTTCCTATTCAAACATGTATAAATAGTCCAGGCAGAAGAGACTGGAATCCAGAACACCTTCCTCCTTGCTAACTGCCTTAATTACCAGTCTACACAATGATGCTCCCTATTACTTGCTTTCCTTCTGGCCCATGCATCTTGCATCACTTGCTGTCTATTGTTCACCTGCAAAAGGAAAGCTGAAAGGTGTCTTCCCACATAGAGGAGCCTGCAGCTTGATGGTGGGGGCACTCTCTTGCAGGGTGGGAAATACAGGTTTCCTGTAAGACTGAAAAAGTCTCCCACTGCCTGAGGAGAGTGTTTTAACCTCTGAGCTATTATATAAAAGGTAGGCACCTCCTGCCATATTCTTAAGTGAAACTGGCCTTGGCTGCTGTCCATTGTGCTGAACTCAGTGCTGGCTATTAGCAGCGTGCAGAGTGGGCCCTGTTCAATTCGGATTCAGATTTAGCCCAAATCAGGGACAGTGATTCGATGAATTGATTTGGATCACTGTCCCTGATTCGATTAGGCCGAATCTGAATCTGAAGATTCAATGCTGATTCGGAGAATCAGCAATTCGGACATTGACACAGCTTTAAATATTTTTTCTACATAACTTGAGGCAACAGGCGCAGCTCGTGAATGCCATGATGCTGGGGTGTGTGGAGCATCCCACAGGACTGTGGGGGGCTCTCCATGTGCTCAGCAGCTAACCCAGAACTGAAGGGTTCCTATTCAATTTGGAGAGATTAAAGGCTCCTTGTAATTCAGTTCGGATTCGGAGATTCGGCCACCAAATCGGTGGCCAAATCTCCGCCGAATCAAATCAGGGACCAAAGCTTCACACAGCCCTACCGGCTATGTGTGGTAGGCCTAGCTGATCAGGCCTCTCAGAGTTTTAGGCACTGCTCTACCTTGTTTCTGGATCCCAATGGTA